CCGGGGGCCTCGCCGAGCTGCCGCCCGGCACACCGCCAGAGGCGAAATGGGCGCCGGGGGAGCCAGGCTGTCCCTGGCGGAAGGCGAACTCACCCAGACGTGGGGAAACCCCACCACCGCCACAGTGAAATACAAGATTAAACAAATATCTATCTATCTATCTATCTATCGATAGCTATATATCGAATTATTCGAGAGGGAGGCAGCGTGGCCGAAAGGCACAGCGAACAAACCGGAGGCGGCAGGGCGGCTCCAGCGCCGAGCGTCTGTCAGCGAGCGGCTCAGCCCCCCGCCGCTCGTGTCTCACCTCTTTCACAAAGACACCTCGGAGGTGGCGTGGCTGCTGCAAACGAGCCAAGGCCAGTGACTTCCAAAACGTTCACCGGAGGGCATAAAAGTGGGCATGGGGATTTGTTACAAAGGGCATAAGCTATTCAGCGAGATTATAACACTGTTTGTACATGACTACGTATGCCCTTCATTAACTGAAGAACCCAAGGGACTGGGAAAAGGACAGAGCATTACTTACACACACCGTAATATTGACTGTTATTGTATAATTACCGTGATCAGTTACCTCATGAAAATAATTGTACTTTATCCCAATAGCAAAAACACTGCTTCAACTCCATTCTAAAATGCACAGCTTGAAATTTCTCAACTACTGCAAGGTTCAGGGCATATTTTCTGTGGCTAAGCAAATGCCCTCACAGGAGGGAACTGAGTAGTGGAATAATGTAGCTATGTCTTCAACTACATAGAATAATCCCATAGAACATGAGTTCTACCACCATGTAGAAAAAACCTTTCAGAATTGCCTCTTTCAGGCTGGAAGCTGTTTCACTACAATAATTTTCTTTTAGGACTTCTTTTAATAAACTATCATTATAAACCTATGAACAGTTAATTGGCAGTTGCATTTTAAAAGTGGGTTGAGGTGTTCCATCTCACAGCGAGTGGGGTGTGGTAATTGCTCAGACCCAATGAAACAGTTTTTCACTAAATATCATGCAAGTACCATTTTTCAGATGTCTATGAAATTACTATTTATGTCTTTGCAAGCATACAATTTACTTCTAAAGGCTGTCAGGATAATAGTTATTTAAAAGACTGAAAGCCCTAAGTAGCACTCTACAGTTCAAATCCAGCAGTACTTGACGTTATTGATCACAGACACACTTTGAAATATTGTGCACACGCAAAACTCTGACTGGACACTAAAAGCATCAAGGAGAAAATCAGTCACAGTTTAAACACCCAGTAGAAATACTAGGTTGTTGGCTGGTAGGTACATGGAAGAGCAGCTTTTATTGTTTCCTCTAAAGAAAAAAAATATGAAGCACTTGTAATTTATTTCAATTATCCAGATGTGCTGGTAGAAGTTGCACTTTTCACACTGAAAATGCAATATTATATTTGCAGATGTTCACTACTCACCTTTCACAATTACTGTAGTAAAGAGTAAAACTACATTTAACCATCATCTGTTGTAACAGTAATTTTATTCTATTACCTTCATGTAGCCATGCCCAGAAATTGGCAAGTGATCATACCACGCAGTGCAGCACGTTCCCCACATTCATGAGTTTAAACAGCAACTAGTTCACATTACTAAGCGTAGGGGATGATTTGCTTAAATATTTTTAGTTGTATGGATTAGTGTCACAGTGCTTGAGAAGAAGAGGAAGTGCTGCAGCAGGATAGATTGGCCTTTACATAGGCGGGGCAGCAGGGAAAAGGCACAAATACAAGAGTAGAAGGGAATGGGAGGACAGATTTGTTACCAGAACAAAGTCTCTAATAGAAAAACAGGATCAGAGCTGTGGAGCTTTAAAAAAAAATACCAAAATCTGATATCTGTTGTGAAAGAAAAATTGTATATCCTTATACTCCCACATGCTTATATATAACTTTTACACATCTGCAGGACAGAATACTACATGCAGTGGTAGACAAGGAAAATGTCTACATTTACTGTATTTTACATACAGAGAAACAGAGCCACTGACTACTAGCAAGTGCACACATTTTAGGAGTATTAGGAAATAAGCAGTCTTTCAGGACAAAAGAAAGAGCTTCCACTTCACAAGCATCATACTGAGAATTAGCTCAACAGAATTAGAACAGTTTTAGCCAATTTCTTTGCAGCACAATCAGAACTTTACTGGCTACAGTGGAAATGCGCCAAGACTGGGTTCAACCCCTTGAATTACAGGAAAATCGCCAGGCATCCGTTTCTAGGGGGTGTCACTGTGCATCAAAGTAAGACAAGAAATGAGGCAGAAAACATTTAAACAAAAGTACATTTCCTTAAATAGGAGTGGGAAACTTAGCAATTAAATGCAAATGGTGCACTTAGCAGCAGCAATCTATAAACATAGGCAAAACAGAAGAAATTAATTTAAACACACCTGGGAAAAATCAGCTGTTCTAGAGGAATGCCATAAAAACTACTGAAGATGGAAAAAATTCTTAATTTTAAGAAGTCAAGAGTCGCTTCTAGGAGTGGAAATACAGCTGTACTTTGATCTACTCCCATTAGGTCACGTGCCATCTTTTCTTAAGAAGGAAAAAGTCCAATTTATAGGATCTTGAAATAGAGAAATGGGTTCAAGCTGATAATGGTATTAGAAGAAGAGAGAAGCAAATTTTTTCAGAACTGGGATCATTTTTACTGTCAAGACCAAGAATTGTAATTCTGTAGAGGAATGTAGGCTATACAATCTTGTAGATGATGATTGTCTAAAAGCTTCAAACCCCAACACAATTTTGGGACTAATAAACTAAAAGCTGGATAGCTATTTCTACACATTTAAACCCATTACACTTTTCATTAACACCAATACTTTTACTTGATATGCTGTCATGAATCAAACCCCAAGGCCACACTAGTATGTGATGCACACTTCAGCTTATGTTCATTTGGCACTTTACTTGCCCTGCATAAACACACAAGTTAGCAAGGAACATGAGGATATTGCCACAGTCATCTTGATCACAGTCATCCAGCTGTTCATCAAGACAAACGAGCCCCTTTTAGGAACTCAAGTCTGCTTTGAAAACTAGTTGTATTTTTGGAATCTGCAAGTTCCTCTCGGACGTTTGCCTCTATGGATCTGTTGAGCCAAACAGGTATTTCCTAAGAGGAAGACTGGAGGAAAGAAGCCCTTGTTTCATACGCTCACCAGCTGAGGACAACCTGTAACTGAAAGAGTATGTTAATCTCTCATGTAGGGCAATATTATTTGCAAACTTTAAATGAGTATCCTCGCGTTCTGCAAAAACCCAGGCGCACTAGTAAGGCCACATAGCAGACGTTATATTTACATACAACAATGCAGATCCACAGAGGGCAGACTAGAGAGACCACACAGGGAGACCTAGGTGACATTCACCAGCCTGTGATACTCCTGTACTAAGCACAAAATTAACTTCAGTTTTGTTCAACGTATACCTTAATTTCTTTCAGAACATCAAGAGACCACTTTCCTTGAGATTTCTAATTGTAACTGTATTGACTAAACTGACTCATTTGTCTTGCATTTGACTGGCTTCGACTCCCAGGCACTAATTTCTATTCCATTAATCTCCCCCTCAAGATATTAAAGCGTTTCTTAGACTTTTTAATTTTTGCGTGTTTAGAGCAGTTCATCCTTGATAGGCTAGAGTAAAATCAACTTGCCAATTGTACACACTGAGCCTCCAGCTTCTTCCCCCACCTGCTTAGCAGTGTTGAGGTCTGTAACATGACCCAGGCTTGAGCCAGTAATTTACCTTAACAGCTGCAATGAGTTGCCAGGCTGGATTTCCTATAATGCAGAGTGGGCTCCTGTGCTTGCTGTTTGATGCTCAGCACATGTCACTACGGTGCCTGGCACCACTCCTACCCGAAACCCCGGCAGTCACAGAAGGGTGTTCCTGCCCATCTTCTCTCCATGCCCTGGGAAATCAGCCCAGCCACATGCACGGCATCTTCGCAGGAGAGGCTGAGAAAGCCACATGCAGTGTCTCCCGTCAGGTCTTTTCCCCACTCCAGCAAGAGGCACAGCATTCCCTTCTCTCAGCCTCTTTGATGGAAACTCAGCCAGAAAAGAGAAGCTGGACGGTTCTGCAGATGCCTTGCTGGCTGATCTGAGGAGCCGGTTTCTCAGAGGGAGAAGCTCAGACCACCGTCAAAGGGAGGCTGGAGCTCAGTCTTCTAAGTCTTAATAGGCCTTTCCCACACCAGGAGACTAAGGGGAAATCTGCCACAGAAAACATCAGACAAGCAAGCGGGGGGGTGGAGTGGAATACTTAAACTTGTATTAATCTTCTTCTGGTAACTGACAACACCCAGAACTGCCATTGAGAACAAATGGGAAATCTGGGCGTACAGTAATCCCTGCATTTGAACTGCAGGGATCTGGACAAGGACCTGTCTTACAAACAAAAGCTTTTTTTTTTTTTTAACGTTTCTGCAGCACAACAGCTATAAAGCGCTTGGCCGCAGCTCCCTTACAGAGTAGGGAGGTTTCCTTTACACTGAAAGGAATGGCAACTTGAGCCAGAGAGATGACTGAGAAGAGAGCGAGGACAAGGGATGGCACTGAGTTTTGCCCAATTCAGAGTGAAAAAGATATTGAGAAACTTTCCAGGTGGATGAGACTGAAGTCTGTTTCAAATGAAAAGCTGCCAAGTTTTCTAATTCTCTCAGCATTCCTGTAGTGTCTTGTGTTACGTACTTCATCCACTAGAGCTCTTGGAATTAAGTGGCTGATTAACTTGGAATGTCAACTTTTGATAAATATGAGAGCGAGTCTGAAGCCATCAGAATTGCAGTGTGAATAATAAGGGTTCAAAAATCAGATGGCCAATAACTGCCAGGGTGAAGTACAGTACTGCATTTGCACTACCGAAGATGCCATAATTGTTCTAAACTGCAAAGAGCTTTCCTAACTTCTTCCCTTTAAATTAAGGCCAAAGTTGAAAATTTTCCTCTAAAGAAAACATAGTCACTAGCAGAAGTCTTGAAGTAACCTTAATCAGCATTTTTTTCCAATAAAATGCCTCCAAAAACAAGAGAATAACATGCTTATGCTTAGGATTTTTTTGAAATTAAAATATATTTCCGAGCAAGATATCCGGTGAAACAGCAGTTGTAGAAAACTGTACAAAGAAATGGCTATCAATGCTTCCAACAATTTTAGTAAGTACAAAAGTGTAAAGATATGGAAAAGGACATAAAAAGAAAATTTCCTGATCTATGAGAACATTTGCACATGCAAACCTATTTATCCCAAGATATATTACACAAATTTATACTGAATCTCTAGAAAGCGTATCTATAAACGAAACATTTTACCTGGCCTTATAGAAGATCCTTTATCAGCATTTCATTTGGGAATTAATTTTGTTCTACTTAATCTCTGAGTTCACAAGCACCTGCAACTAGGTAACGTTAAAATTGTCCTAAACAAAAAGTCTCGTTCCTTGCTCATGAAGAAGAAAAATTGTTTTTCTTCTAGGCCCGTGAATTCCTGCTAGGATGATCCCAAAAAACCATGCAGAGCATATCAGTCTTTGTCAAAACTAGCGGAACAGGGACACGGCCTAATCCTGTATCTCTATTCCTTTAAGGTCATATATAAGTTCTTTACATCACCTCTGCAGAGGAGCATTGAAAACAGAAACAAAAAAAACAAAGGCAAAAAACCCACTGTGCTATGCTTGTTTAAACAGCAGGTTATTTTGCAGCTCTTATTAAGCAAAATTTCCAATAATTTCTGACATACAGCAGAGCACATGAAGATGCAAATAGTCGTATTAAACTCAGTTCTGACTTGTCAAAACAGTTCAGAATAATTAAGTACTCTACCAAACCCCAGCCAGTAACATCAACTCAACTCTTTTTGATATCATAAAATAAAATCTGAAATTGTTACATTTAAAAACTGGGCACATTTTTGACATGGTATTTAGAACTGCTCTCTCTGGTAAACAATAATGCAACACTTGCAAATAGAAAACTATGCATACGTAAAGGGACAGGCTGTGCACTGTCTAATAAAAGCAGAATGTTAACACAGATGTTCTAAACTCATCTGGTAACTTCATTAAATTGATTTGGAATTGGACCTGTATACAAAGGCTATTCAGAAATGCACAGTATCTAAATAAGTCACAAAGTGATTAAGAAATTAATTGTTTTCCCCACAGGAAATGTAAAATTCTGAGAGTAAATAAATACTTCAAAATACGCATTTCTATTTAAAAAAATATAAAATAGTATCCACATAGTCAAGGTGATGCTAAACGTGTACATTCCAATTCATAACTTTATCATAGTCCTGTATTCGTTGTTTTATGTGAGAAAGCTTATTCTTGAGGTATTCACAACGCTCCTTTTTCTCCAGAAATGTAGGATCCTGCCAAAAATACAAAAACTCCTTATATTAATGTTTACACTTTCAGTTTCCTCCAACAATAACTCATTAGCAATGATGGCATTGATTAAGGACAGCATATAAATATCCTCATTCCTCAAAAACAAGCTTTTTTGCTTGGCCCCAATTTCTTACATCCAGCTTTTTCTTGTTTCCCCTTCATTCATGAAGGGCTGAAGAGAGAGGTTCTGCTTTGATATGCCTTAGTTATTTAGTAAATAGAGCAACTTTAGCATAAATGTGCAAATGCAAACAGGTGTGTTCTGGCATGCCAAATAAAACCCTCTCCCGAAAAAAGCAATGAAATTTAACTAACAAGGATGCAAAATTTGAATGCAACGAAAAAAAAAAACCAGATATTTGCAATGTTTTTAGTGAAACAAAGGTACACATTTACTGCCTCCATTTAAAAACAACCAAGCAAAACCTCTTGGACTACAGGGAAAATTAATTTTTGACAGTCCATGTAAGTTCCATGCCAAAAAGAAAACACAAAACTTCTCTTCAAGGGCAATACTGTATATTTTCTGCTGTTAAAAAAGCTGTGTTGGCTTTGTCAGCGAGTACAAATGAACTGTATCCCAAAAATAATCAGTGGTGACTGATCTCCTGAAAGCAAAACACTAGAGATGAGACATGCTCTCAGAAGATTAAAATATTCTCCCCCCAAGTTTGTCTAACAGAATCATTAATCTCAAATGAGGTTGTTGACATGATGAGTAGAGCGCGCAGCGTCCTAACTTCACCAAAGTTTTAAAAGACAAATATACAAAGCTCTGTAATAGCTAAGCATACCCTGAACTAGCAAATCGTACCTAGTGACAGGAGTCCTGCCTAATTACACTCTCTTTGCTATTTATTAGATTCACCAGCAATGTAAAACTCAAAACACTCACATTTTTCTTCTTCTTGTATTCTTGCAAAACTCTGGATATCCTTTCCTGTTCCTAATAGGAGAGACCGCACATTTTTAACCACATCAGTGTGCTCCATACCTTCACGTTAAATTTTACAAAATAGTTGTCAGAAGTCAATTGCTCCTTTAATCAAATCCATTCTAATATATTTTAACTCTTAGGTTTTGTACTTGAGAAATAGAGAAAATACATTAACTGTAGCTTGACAATACTTGAAAAAAAATGGAAAGCTACATACAAAACTTGAAAGCTACTAACATTAAAAAAAACAGAAGAACTTGTATAAAATTTAATTGCAACTTAGCATCCTCAACTCATGACTAAACAAGAAACAACAGACTTGGGTAAACTCTCTCTCCTACCAAGTCACTGCCAGCATTAGAGGACATTGCCATAACTGAAGACAGTCAGAAACTGCCTAATAACATACCTGCTTTTCCATTTCGCAGGTACTTACATGTATGCTTCCAGGATTATGAGGCAGTTTTCTCATCAACGCATCCAGCTCATCAAACTTCTTCAATACAGCATGAACTTCCCCTGACAGTTCTTTATATTCAGCAAACTGATCATTGAATACTGCTTTGTATCGGTCTCGCATTTCATTTGTTTGAATTGCAGGATATTTCCTTTAAAAAAGCATTTTTTAAGGACTCATATTAGAGACAGGACTTCAAGACACACACAAACCCTTGACTTCGGTACTATATTTCTCTACTGTTCATCAATATCATAGCCTGCCAAAACGTGCATGCATGTAAAGCATTGAAATCTATGTCAAGTATTATACAAATTATTTTTATGATCTCATACTTCACCATAGAAAGGTCTAGCCTTGCCACTTGAAACTGAAGTACGCTATAGATTTAGCACTTGGAAAGTACAAGATAACATAGGTTTAAGGGGCTAAAAGGACAAGAACTTGTCTGTATGGTCTTCTGTTCCTTCAATAATTATTGTACATGCTACATTATAGTAGTCGGCTTTCACATGTGGGTTTTTTTTAAATTTAAGATTCTTCATTTATATTACTATTTCTATGCCACTGGCGCCAGCCCTCATCCTCTCTATTCTAATATTCACTTCAGTTAAGATTCTGAGATCCACAGCACATGAAGAATCACAGAGAAACCATGAAACGTGTATATGAAAAACACCGAGTAAAAAAACATGTTTCAAATATTCTCCATTAAATTTGTTCATCAAAGCCAAGTCACTTACGCTAAGTAGTCCGGCATCACTATAGGTTTAGGAATGTGGCCTGCAGGTATATGACCATTAAGTTGTTCAGTTTTCACTTCCACCGATTTAAGCTGTCTATAACTGACCTCTTTTCCTCTTGGTCGGTCAAAACTCTCATACTAAGTTTCAAAAGCCAAAAAAAAAAGAAGTCAGTCAATTTTACTTCAAAGACAACATACATAAACCACAAAATAGCTGACTAATTTGAAGCTAGAGGTACAAAGACTGAGGTGCATGCAAATTGTATAAACTCTTTACGACCATTATTATAATTAGAAAATTAGGAAAGTGTTACAGTAACGTTTCTCACACAGTAACCATCTTAAATTTGTCCAAATAGCTGTTCCAGTAACAAATAAATACTTCTTGAAAAGATTTTTCCCGTGTGTCTTAAGTAATTTCAGAAAGTTCCCTTGAGTTTCTGTCTAATCTGTGACTGCTTGCTGATGGACATCATTCCGTTCTGCGGAGTTCCCTTTTCCCCTCGTTCCTTATTGCACAATTTCTCCCTGGACTCAGAAGTAGCAACGCATGGAGTCCTGCCACAGCGTATAAAAAAGGATCCTGATTCAGTACTGAAGTCAGTAACTGAGAAAACAGTAGTATGAAGTGCACAATATCTAATGGGAGGCATTTAAGATCGAAAGAAATACACTGTAAGTTCTCTGAGAATCATCAACATCTGCTACGCTAAGATCCTATACAATCTTTCTGTTGTATGCACCTGCATCTTTGTGCAGTGGAAGTACTAAAAACCTCCTTCAGTATGACAGATTCTGGCATTTGCTGGTATTTCAAAGCTCGCAGGCTGGATTTTGGAGCTGTCTCAGAGACCCAAGAGCAAACCGTGAGTTCACTCAGTATGTATCACTGTGTTTCACTGCCTCTCCTCCAATTTAAACAGGCAACCAGGAGTTCAAAAAAAAAAAAAAAACACCCTAAAACCTACAACACATGAGATGCTCTGCTGTTACAGCCATGTCTGCTAAATACTGTGATAAATGCTGCAGGACCTGTCTGTCAATGTAAAATGATAAGAGCGCACACAGAGGCAGTTATCAGATTTGCTGACACTGTAAATTTATAACCTAGCCTAACCAGTGGTAGCAACTTTATGAGCTCCTTCTGAACCTCCGGAGTAGAAGCAAGTTGTCCAGGTTGCATTAAAGAACTAAACCTAATCTCTTCCTAGAAGGATAAATACTAAATCAGTCAGTCAAAACAAAGAATCACGAGAAAAAGAACAAGCATATGGAAAAAAAACAGCAAAGAAACAAAAAATAAATTTGTTTCTTACCTTCTTTTCTGGCAAAGACAACTGTGTTTTCATCTATCAAAAAATAAAAAAAAAAGAGCTTTAAGTTTTATTCTCAGCATAAATAGCATGCACAGACTCTTAAAATCTAAACTTTTTCAAAATCATGTTGTACAGATAATTATATATGTATATTTAGGTATGAACAAATTTAGAATAAGGAATATTTTTCAGATCTGTATATTTAAAAACCATTTAAGAATGGCAGAACAACAACAACACACCCCAACCCAAAATAACAACAGGATCTCCTGGAAGAGCTGTTAAGGAACAAATCAGATTAAATAGTGCACCCGGTCACCTTTATTACTGCACATTCCAACCTACATTAGCTCACTGACGCTCTGAGGCCTAGGTCATTGCTTAGAAAACGTTTCAGTGCTCTAACCAATAACTCAAGCAGCAGCTATTTTGCACGACACTCTTTAAAGCCTAACTTGCATTGTAAAAGCATTCTCTTTAGAGATTTTCTTAAATAACTGGAATAAAAGAACACAGAGTACAGCAGGGAAGAGTGACTGAGCACCCTCTGTGTAATTCCAGCGCTCGTTTCATTTTTGCATAAGTTTAAAAAATGCTTTAAAATTTTAATAATAGAACTGCAAGTTACTTATCAAAAGGGGATTCCCAGTTTTATGCAAGATACAGTGCTTACACTGTGTATAGACAAGTTCTTCTTGATCAATCTGATCAATTTATCTCAAAAGCAGAATTTTAAGGAAGTGTAAAAAGCTTAACAAAAGGAAGAAGATAATACATAAAAATATTTGTTCCTCCTGTTTTATACCAAACCCCCGATGTGTACCTTGTTCAATCACTAAAATAATTCGTTATGAAGAACCAAGATTCCCTCCCTCCTCTGCTTCAGGAAAAACAAGGGAGGCACCAGAGGTCCGAACAAGTACTCTAATGAAAGTTGACTTAGACTCATCTGCCTTTTTTTTTTTTTCTCTCAAATGTCATATATGATAGTTACACGGTTCCTAGAACATAGGTTTTCCTACCCTTTTTTCATTCTAATTATTAAAACTGATTGGCTAGATTGTGGTGTCTCAGATTTCCATTTTGTTATTACTATTATTATCCATACTACCACGAGGAAAGCTAAAAAGACATCAAGACGCACCTTGGAGTTTTGTTTGCAACATAAAAATCACCATTTCTTCTTTTTATTGTCATTCACACTAGCGCTTAACGTGCTGAAAGCACAGACTTCAAATACTAGGTGGCTTTAAGCCACCTTACGAAATAGCTGAACAGGCACATTGTTCACTTCTTCCTTTGTTTAGGAAATACATGCCAGGAAGCAGTGCGTCAGCTGATGCAGGAAGAGAGCTGAATATTGCAAAGAGAACAGAAGCAATTCCTTACCGAGGTCAATTAAAAAAAAAAAAAGCAACAGAAACGTGAATCAGGCATCTTAAAAAGTGCGGGCTGCGTTTCATTCAGTGATCTCAAATTTACCAGTGAGACGGGTAAAGGCTGATGCTCGGGCTTTGGAACTGCCGCAGGCAAGACATGCCTGACAGGACTCAGCCCATGGCACGAGACGAGCTTCCAGCGGCTTTCCATCATCCCATGCGTATTCGATTTGAAACGGTAATTTATGACTTACCTCTTGCTCCATTAATTCTCTGTGCCTCCGGGCTCCTTCATGTCTCCATAACTTTAAAGCAACCACCGCGCTAATCAGATAGACTACCACTGTGACAAACAGGAAGATTATTGCCGCTGTCTGACCTCCTTCTACGCGGCAAAAAGATGCGTTTATTGGCGTATTAAATAGCTGGTAATAGCAGAGTCCACCGCGATTGATATCATTTACGTACACTATCGCAGCTGCCATGTACAGGAAGAACAGGGCCACGTTAATGCCAAATTCAGTTAAAGGCCACCAGCTCGAATCCAGAAGAATGGTCCGATAGTACATGGACATGCCGAGCACCAGCAACGCTATGGTCACTACCCACGCCGCTCCTGCTACTACGAGGACAAACGGAGTCTTAGGTCCGC